TCGTGGCCGCCCTTTTCAAACCGTGCGGCTGCGGCTCGGCCATCGCCTCCAGCTCCTTGGCAACCGAGTGGGTGAAAGGGAAGACGGTAAGAACCCCCCTCCCCCGGAGGTGGCACCGCGGGGAGCCTGCAGAGCTTCCCTGCTGGGAACACCCAGGAACCGGTGGCCAAGGAATGGCAGGGCTGGCTCTGTGCAGGGCAGCCCTGTGGCTGAGGCAGCAGCCCTGTCAGGGGTCTGACTTGTGGGGCAGTAGTTGCCTTTCCCAAGGACCTCCATTAAGCTGCAGGGAAGTACTTTGTGTCTTAGGCAGTAATAGAAAAATATACATTCCCTAATTCCAGCACCTGTACCTGCCTCTGGCAGTTGAGATGTCCTTCTGTGTGGGTTGTTTTGGCTCAGGGGCATTAAAGCACTTGGTGAAATGCCTCTGTGGGCTGTGCTGTCCCTCAGGCACCCACTGCTCCCTGTGTTTCAGGTTGATGAAGCGTTGAAGATCAAGAACACAGACATTGCCAAAGAGCTCTGCCTTCCTCCTGTTAAACTGCACTGCTCCAGTAAGTACAGGGCTGAACAGGGGGGGACTTCAAACACAAGCTTGGATTTGAGGGGGAGGCTCCTGGGAATAGCACAGATGCTTTGTTTTCCCAACAGAGTTTACATGTGAGGAACAGCTGAGGTTGGCCCACAAGATAAACACACTTATGTCCAGATTCTGGGGTTGTTTTAAGAGTTTTCAGATCCCTGGATTCCATAGCTCAGCAGACTCATCCTGTTTTGATGGGATCTTATGTTCCAAACTGCTCTTTTTGTCCTTGTCTGGTTTGCAGTGTTGGCTGAAGACGCCATCAAGGCCGCCTTGGCTGATTACAAGTTGAAGCAGAATCCAAACAAAGAGGAGTCCTCAAAGCAAGCAAAGAATGCCTGAACTGCACAGCTTGTCCTCGTTCCACCTCCATTTTGCAGTGCAATTATTGTAGCTGTTAGTAGGATCCTGTGCACAACTCAATGAAGCTGTAAGATACGCACAACTTACACACAACGTGTCACTCCCCAGGTGTGTGCAGCTGCTCCTGTGCTGCCACAGCTGGGATGGGGGTGTTCCAGCAGCTGGAATCTGTAATTACTCTGTTGGAAATGTTAAGAGTGAAGGCTGCTCAATTGCAGAGAACTTGGTGGCTTCTCTTGGGAAAGGAAATCCTGCTGGTCTGGTACTGGAAGGGCTGCACTTTTAATTTTTTTGGAAGCTGTATAGTTTTGCCTAATAATTTCCAGAATTGAGTGGGAATCATTGCCTTGGTCTGTGTGAGAACTGCAGAGGGGTCTGTGTGTCAGTGCAGTACACAAAGGCAGGGCAGTGTCTGCCCACAAACTGCAGCTGTGTCTGAGGCTCATTTCAAAACCTGGGTGCCAGTTCCTCCTTCCCAAGGCTTGGGGATGCTCCAGTGGGTGCTGGGTGGCACTGAGGGGGTGCTGGGTCCTGCTCCCCTCCCTCGGCTTCTCATCATGTCCTGTCACATCCAACACTTCTTTTTAAGCTCCCCTTAGAGAAAGAATCTTCATTTTGGAGCTTGTAAGAATTCAGCCTTTGGACTGGCCAAGTCCTCTGCTAAAAGAGAAAAATACACCCTGGGGTTTAAATGCAGGTGGGGAATCATGTAGGTGGGAGAGCCAAGGGGAAGGTGCCAGTGAGCAGGGGACTCTGGGGACAATGCCTCAGCATCCCATGGGATGGAGCTTAGCTGAGCTTTGACAGAGGAGCAGAGAGAGCCTCAGGATTCCTGAGAGGTTCAGTGGTTGGTGGTGACCTTGCCTTCGACCCTGGGCCCTCGTGCTCTCTGCTGGCTGTTCTTTTCCCATGGAGCACTTCCATAGATTCCCAAAACAAGCAGAAAACACGTTTTTAAAGCTGTTCCTGCTCATAAGATTTTTAACCCCAAGAAACCTCACTCACCTCTTTTCATACCGAAGGTGTTTTTAAAACAGGATCACTCAGGTTGAAAAAGATCTGCAGGATCATCCAGTCCAACCTTTAACCTGACTCAACTAACCCAGCTCCACCAGCCCCCTGCTAAACACTGATTTCTAACCACCTCCAGGGGTGGTGATTCAGCCACCCCCCTGGGCATGGAAGGGTTTCACAGCCCGTTCTGTGGAGTTTTTCCCAACATCCAACCTAAACCTCCTGCTGTAACTTGAGGCCGTTTCCTGGTGTTCTCTATTACTAGTTCCTAGTGAGAAGGAACTGCCCCCCCTGACACAAACCCCCTCTCAGGCAGTTGAAGAGGAAGAGGAGCTCTCCCCTCAGCCTCCTTTTATCCAGACTAAACTTCCCATCAGCTGCTCCTCATAAGGTTTGTTTTCCACACCCTTCCCAGCTCCGTTGCCTTCTTTTGGACCAGCTCCAGCCCTTCCGTGTCGTTCCTGTATCGTACCCAGAGCTGACCCCAGTGCCCGATGGAAGAGGAAGAGGAGCTCTCCCCTCAGCCTCCTTTTATCCAGACTAAACTTCCCATCAGCTGCTCCTCATAAGGTTTGTTTTCCACACCCTTCCCAGCTCCCTTGCCTTCTTTTGGACCAGCTCCAGCCCCTCCGTGTCGTTCCTGTATCGTACCCAGAGCTGACCCCAGTGCCCGAGCTGCGGCCTCGCCTGCCCCCCCCCTGTGCCCCCCTTGTTCCCTCCCGTAACCCTCTCCCAGTTCCCCCAGTAACC